CCCCGCCGTCTCTGCAGGCCACATGGCTAGCTTCAGCCAAGGGGTTGCTCACTGGCTTTAGTTATATTTTTCCCTCTGGATCAAGAGCGTGAGATTTCCGAGAGCGTTAGATGGGCACGGTGCTTGTTCAGGCAACCAATGCCCAGGGCTCAGCACTGTGACTCCCACCTCTCAGGGTTTTATGTCCCTCTGGCTGGTGAGCTGTGCCTGAGCATCGTCCCCTCTGCCCCAGGGTGTGCCAGGGTCACTTCTTGGATATTGCAAAAGCTTCCGTTCCCAGAGGAATTACAGTGGGTTAAAAAATAGTTTCTGGTCTTGACCAGTGATTCTTTATTTATTTGACTAAACACAAATTTGATAAATTCTGTTCAGGTAAGTGTATTTTTCCCACTTGCAGAGCACATGGCATGGGACAGCAGCAGCAGCCACCGCCAACATGCTGCAAAGGAGCTGGGATTTCTGGATCCCAAATTTTCATGGGACCAGCAGTGTTCAGGGGGGAGGTGGTTATGTTCAGCATAGCAGGGGAAAGTCAGGCCCTCCTGAATACCTCAGGGCAGTTTCCAAAATCAAGCCAGCAGTCACCTTTTCGAAAGTCTTGCCTGCTTTTGTACATCAATAACAATTCTTGAGACAACAGCGTTATAACTGGTGTTATTTGTGCAGGAAATACACAGGTGTTTAATGCAAGATGATGCTAAAATACTTTCCTCCCAAAGGAACAGAGGATTTTTTGGTTTCACTTCCACCCTTATCAAAATTCAGAGAAATTCTGCTGAAATTTCCCTGAAATTGTTTGAAATTTATACTGACTCAGAGACAAATGTCCCAGGCCATGGAAGAGCAGGTAATTGAATCCAGTCCTCATTAGTCACCACTTCTCAGTTATTAGAATCTAATTTTCTTCAGCATTGTGAAATTATTATATTAATTATATTAATTATTATATTTTGTGAGAATTATCAAACATTGTGCAAAACAGTCTTTTTGTTACAAGAACTCTCTCTTAGATAATCCGTAAAGAACAGCATCTTCCAACTATAGCCAAACCTTGATTTTCTGGTAAAAAATCTTGATTTTTATAGAGACCTAGTAAAGCTCTTGAAGCATCTTCAGTGGCTTCCTGAGCCCCCTCCTATAAGAAATACAACAGGGTGTCCTGCCTAGGAGGAACACGTGCCTTTTGTGGGACCCTACAATCCTTCTGAAAGCAAGTAGTGCAGGAAACAGCCTTTTCCTTACTTTCTAGTGAACTTTTCTGGCGTTTTGGTTGCGATTCTTAGGACAGTTTAATCCACCCGAGCACCAGAGCTGCAGCTCAGTACTGGCTGATGCTCGCTTTTGAAAGA